TTATTTTTCTGAATAAAACCATGAAAATGATTTTTCAGATTGATTTGATTAGTTTCTATTGAAACCCAATACTTCATCAAACATAACATCTTCCCAACTTATTCATTATCTGTAGTTCTTGTATTGGATTAAAGTTATTTTCTAAAATACATGTACATCATCTCAGAAACTATTGATGTACATTTTTCATAAAATAAAAACCTCACATAAATTGGTCCTATTTCAAAACAGTCATGAAAATGTTCTTATACAGCACCATTATCTTCTGTTGCTATGACAGGAGCACATGGTGTTGAATCAAATTTAAAATATGGTAAAAGGAGGATATTTTACTTGAAGCCTCTGGCAAGGGATCCAACACAGGCAAGATTAATATAGGTCTAAGAGAGATAAAAAAAATACGAACACTGCCATTATCAACATACTTCTCATAGAAATAGCATTCACAAGTTTTATAATTTGTCTTTCCCCAGGGGAAACAAAAGACTGAACAGAACCCATAAAAAGTGTTAGCTCATCATTATTTTAGGCCTACATGGATATTCTATTATCAAGCAGAAAACCAGAGGTTCACTCTGTGCTTTTATGTGTAGAATATTACATAAATGCTAGTTTGTTGTTATTGGATATTCAAGAGCATTAAAGGTACTATGTCCCATTTGCAGGCCAAACGAGTGAAAAGGTTAAATTCCACTGGCATTTGAAAGATAACACTAATTTCGAACATCCCTCAAAACAAAAGGGCTTGAAAATGTCTTTTTGTGGGAAGATTACGACCATCAATTGTTGAATTGACTTTAGGGATTGCAATCCTTTTAGTAAATAGTCGTATTTTCAGACCCTTTGACAGAATGATGTACGTTTTGTGCTGCACAAAGATTCAATCACTTTAGTTTTGGCTATTACAAGAGGTGGGTTATCGATGGAGACAAATGCTCATGAACCCTTTACATCTCATTTTATGTATGTTATTACCAAAGAAAAAATGAAGTCAGTCAGTCACTCAATAGTGTCAGACAGTGAAGTCTAAAATGTAAAGGGTTTCCTTGAATAATTTGAATACTAAGACACTGCTAATGTTTAAATTTCACAGATAGGACATACATGACATATTCATAATTTCCTGCAAAGTTCTACAGAATTTGAAGTTGGCTGCAAATGGGACATAGTACCTTTAATGTGTCCTGTATAGTTCTTCTTTCAACATCTTTAGATTGTTTCATAACTCATGCATATTTAAGCTATCCATAAAAAATGAAGGAGAATATCTTTCTGTCAAAATGTTGTAAATGAGAAAAATACATTACCACTGCATGACATTATAGAAGGAAAATGATGTTGATGTGAGAGGGTTTGGATGAAGAAGCTCACACAGTTATCATACAACTTTGGGTAGCTTCAATAGGATGTCAGTTGGAATAACAGTTTGCACGAGAGCATCAGAGCACCATGCCAATCTATGCTCTACAAAACCATGAAAAGCGGCTAGAAGGAAGAGCATGACTTGAACTAACTACATATCATGGTGTGCTTATCTTTCTTTAAAAACTCCAGTGCATCTATTACATATCTGTGAATCATATACTGTACAAACATTCCCTGGAACCACAATGCATCATCCATATCTTTCTATACACAATGCAGGCTAGGTTTTGTTATCAAAATAACAGAAAATCACCATCATTCTTATATTACAGCTCTGTAAATTCTCAACTATCACAAGTCTAGTTTCTAGAACACTAGGTATATACTACAATATCTTCATTCCCATAAGCACACAAATTTGATCAAATTGTGCAATTAAAAACAGATTCTTCACACTGCCATTTAAAATTTCAAGGAAACCTTGATTAAAACACAAGTCATTTGCACTTGTGCATTTCCCTATATGAGATTAAGGGCTACCAACATTGTGTAATAAAAAATACTCATAAGTGATCTCATCTCATTCTGTATTAGTACATAAGGGATGTTTACTGCAATAATGGATTTCTTTCCTGAATTACCATCAATCTCAATGGTGACTTCACTTCACCAAATCCAGTTGGCGATTCTTTATCTAAAATAAATAACATAACTAATACTAATCCTAAATCTAAGGATTTATTACAGGTAAACTTATATTCTTACTAAAATATAATGATGTGAGACAGTGCTAACAATAGCATGGATGACTTCACGATGGGCACGGTTCTGAAAATTCTGCTTCCGTTAATACCAGGGATGTTGATAAGTCAACAATAACAAATCTACAAACAAAGACAATGCATGAGGCATCCCTTAAACAATACAAAATTATCCACAGTCCCATCAAAGGCTGAGTCATCTAGACAAAGTAATTCTGGTGTATGCTAAATACCACACTCCAGAGTTGAAAGAGAGGTACTACTTGTACCCATTTGCCAAGGAGTTGGAGGCAGTTCAAAGCCCTGATCTTCAATATCTTGGAACATTTTATCTGAAAATTCTTCTATCATCATTCCATCACTAATGGATGAGGCTGTACTGTTAGATGTATCATTGAATGCCTGATTGGGGAGAAGAGTTTGGTTAGGAGCAAGATGGTTTGAGTTCCCATTCTGCTGATCCGTCATCTCATCATACTTCATGTTGAAGTCAGCTAGCTGGGAGCCGACATTTGTATCCGTTGCCACTGAGGTTTCAACTTGTTCACCAGACCAGTTGGTTTCACCAAGACTGTGACTTGGTTGAAGATTAGATCCAGAGTTGATTTCAGTATTCAAAAGGGTTTCAGGAGCAAAATCCTCTTCCGTCACTTCTAGGTTGAGCAGATCTTGAGTAAGATTGCGTTTTGCCGTGAATCCATTGGTAGGATGAATCTGTCTGACTTGGTCTTCTAACTGCACAGGTATAATCTGCATCTGAGATGAAGTAATCTGATTGCTCACCACAGGGTTCTGATTGGTTATAACTTCTGGCTGAGTTGGGAGCTGGAGCCTAGAAAACCTATTGGCTGGTTGCTCTGGTAAAGGAACAGACTGACTGCGGTTCTGTAAAGCTTTTTTATCTAGCATAGCTTGTAGGCTAGGATTAACATTCAGAAGGTTCAAAAGTTCTATTTCTGCATCTCCATACATCTGCATGTTTACATTAGAAGAGGCAGGACCAGAGGGATTGCGTCTCCTTTGCAACGTAGCCTGCTGATTCTGTAAGCTTCCTCCAAGGAATTGAGAAGGGATTTGAATGTTTCCAGTACCAACAGCAGAACCCTGATTAACACCTTGTTGGCTTGTTTGAATATAAATCTAGATTGCTGTTTGGTAAGCTGATTCGTACCTGGAGACGTCACATTCTGACGGACTTGGACCTGGTTCTGGAACTGAACAGCACTTGGGCTTGCAGCAGCTACCCTCTTTGAATTACTGGAGAGACGGCGTTTGCGATTGGGTGTCAAAAACTCAGATTGCTGAGAACGCTTTCCCTTACTCTTACTCTGATTAAACTCTTGTACGTCATTGCCTACAAGAGCTTGTGTTAATGCACTCCTCACAGTGGGATGGGTTGGTTTGGGTTTATGCTTTGGTTTCAGAGGACTCTCTCCACCCTCAAACTCAATTGTGTTTATTGGAGTGAATGCAAATGACTTCCCATCAACAGGGCTAGGTGGTACACTGTCTCCTCCTTGTTGTACAGGAATAGCTGCACTCTGGGCCCGCATCATCATGTGAGGTGGTGGAGACTGCAACTCTGCTATTGGTGTAGTAGGAACAGACCGAGCACTGCGTATCTCATTCTGGGGAGTACTAATATAAGACAGATTTTCAGAGGCTAATAACCTTTCAAGCATCTTAGGCTGTGATGCCCGGATCTGCGTCAACTGTTGCATCTTAGAGACTTGTCTCAGGGGCAGGGATACACTGACATCTGTTTGCTGGTTTTGACTGGTTCGAATGGCCAGACTACTCTGTGGTAACTGACTTATGAGCTGTGTGTCAGGGGACTTGGATTTGTGAGGAAGCATGGTGGCAGCAGACATGCCTGAAACCATCAGCATGGTGTTATTACTATGATCCGCATCGGTCAACAAGGACACAGAGGGTTGTGTCACCAACTGGTTCAGTACATTAGCATCTTCCACTGAAATAGTTTCGAGGGCCAAACCACCTTTATTTGCCTGTTGCTGAATGTTCCCCTGCTCTGTAAGAATGTCTGTCAGGATGCTTCTTTGTTGCAAGGATGAAAGCTCCTGAGAATTCACAATTACTGGGCCAATACTACCCATCGCTGATGTAAGAGCATTCCTCTCATTGGACAGAGCAGGGTTACCAGCATCTCCAGCGGTCGCTTGGATCACATAATGCTGCACCTTATTTCCATCCTGTTGCCTTGACAGATTTTGCACTTGTGCCAAGACCAAATTTGTTGAGGAGTCTACAACTGCAGTACTGGGTACAGCCAGCTTTGGTAATGCCACTGAAGAAGATGCCAATGATGAAAAGGCCTGAGCATTTTTTAGTAAGCTGGCAACAGTCTTGCTCCCAGAGTTCTGCAAGATACTAGCCTTGGAGCTTCCTCCAACGCACCTTCCCACATCTGATTGCACAACATTACCAGTTTTAATAGTTCTACTACCAGCTGGTGTACCCTTTTCAAGCTTGTTAGCATGGAGTGTCGAATTTATTACAGTAAACTGAGAGGGAGCTGTCTTATTTGGATCGACCCCACTCTGAGATGCATTAGACAAAATGTGATTACCCTGGAATGCATCAGAACCTATTACAGCTACAGAAGAAGGTAATTTCATTGGTTGGGTTGCAAATGTTACAGACGTTTTCAACATTGAGCTATCGCTTGTGGCTATCGACTGGGAGAGTGGTAGGTGCACAAGAGCGGATGAAGCATTTCGAACCAAGATATTGGCTGGGGATGCAAGCTTTGAGGCTTGTGTCATCACATTGACAGGGCTGGTCAAAGTTGGAGCTGAGGCTGGGGCAGTTCTGTCAAAGAAGACTGGAGTCACATTTTGTGATCTTACATTGCTAGTACCCGTGTTTATATGTGATTCCCTGAGATGACAGGCCAGTCTTCTGGCAAGCAACAGGCTGTCCCTGATTCTGTCTTATTGCAGCACTTGTATTAGTGACAGTCTGAAGACCACTCCGCAACTGTTTAAGTGTGTTTCCTACAAGAACATATTGTCCACTCTTGATGGCACTCTGAATACTATTTGCTGGTATGACTGGACTACTGAGGACAGTATTGCCTACTACTGGACTGTTTACAACATTAACTGGTGTTTGATTACCCATTGCTGATACAGACTGGACTGGACTCTGAAATACATTCTGTCCAGGCTGCAATATCACATTCATTTGCTGAGGACTTGTAAGTTTTGATATACCCTGCACTGGAATGACTTTCTGTCTGTTCATGACAACTAGTTGCATCGGTTGTCCATTTACATTCTTGGCTGATGGACTTATTAGTACCATTGGTGCACCAGTGTCTCTAACCGGCGTCTTTGGTTGTATTGGAGCAAAACGTCTCTTGCTTGGGCTTTCTTTGGATGCAACATTGGTACCTTCTCCAACAGAAGCATTACTTGAAGACAAATGATTCTCTGGGTTAGTACTGCTCTCACCACTCTCCGACAATGTTATAGAGTTTCCAACTGAACTTTCACTAAAAGCCGGCACATCTCTCTGTTCTAGTTGTGTAGCCTTGTCAGTGCGCATTACTTGTAAGGAGAGGTTGTCCTCAGCAGTAAGGTGTTTGCTGCTGACTGGACTTGAATGCAGCCTATGTTGGTTCTCCTCTGCCTGCTTTTTGCGGATTTCTCGTCGATACTGCAACGTCTGCTTCAAGTGGTAGTTCGTCTCTCGGTGTCGCATCTCTGGAGTTAGATCAGGCCTAGGAACTTCACCCATGTGCTTCTGGACAATGAGGATGGACTTGGAGCTCTTGGTGACTAACTTGTTATTCGTGAGATGCTGGGCCAGCTGCAGGCTGTTGGCGAAGGTCTTGTTGGCAATCCCTGTTGCCCATTCACAAATGACATGTGAAGCAGCTTTCTGGAGATGATCATCCTCTCCTTGAAGCAAAGACTTAGGACAGCCTGGACATGTTGTCTGAAGACAATCAACCTGCAGAAATGTCAAAAACATGCAGTGAAAAAAGGGTGAATGAATTTTGCATTGTAATTTAGGTGCAAAGACCATTGAATTGCTCCCATGCAGGACACTTTACATCAATAACACTTTACTGGTGGGAGATTTTATAATAATAATTATAATTATATTTGCTTATATAGCGCCTAACACTTACTTTATCAGAAGTCTCTAAGCGCTCTACAAATAATGCAGCATAATTACCCTGGCTTTGGCAGTGCAGCTGGGTGGAGTGTGGCAATTATAGATCAATGTCTTGCCAAAGGACATTAGTGCCACGGCAGGACTCAAACCGCGGACCTTATAATCGACAGTCCAGCGATGAATCCACTTGACTTTTATCAATCTCAATCAACAACAAAAACAAAAAAAATCTTAATTTATTATGAAACTTTCCCTAACTTGCTGCTCTGATAATTTTTTCCTATCTCATCAAATGTGATAAGGAGCCCTAAAATCTGACAAAAGCTGAAATATGACTTCATCTCTAACAATGAGAAAGACCGTAATTATAGGGTTTGTGACTCACCCCTAGTTTGACGATAGGAGCATCTAGCGGTGGGAGTGATGGGGACGTCAATTCAAGCTTCTTTCTCATGCCACTGTAGCAATACGTGCAATTGTAGTCAAGGTATAATAAACATTCATATCACCCTCCAGCATCAAAATACTTCCATCTTAATTTTTATTAATAAGTTTATTTTTGTTCTTTAAAAACAATATCTAAGGCTCTCTGAAACATCGGAAAAATAAGGTTTCAGTTTCACGCTATACACTGATTACACTCTACAATTTTTTTAATTTTTTTTTTGGAGGGGGGGGGGGGGATATTTTACACTAGTTTTTCTGAGGGTTTTCTGAAAAAA